CTTTAGAGTGATTCAAATTCAAAGAACCAGAATATTTGAAACCTATTTGACAAGACCAGAGCTAGAAGTAGTAAAGATCTTTAACGATATTATGGAAAACTGGAACCAGAAACTAAAGAACTAGACAAACAACTCTGAGGCAAGAAGGGTCCACCAACCTGGCTACCAGAGTCATACTGGAGGAAAAGGTCTGATGCTACAGAATTTAGAACCAAGAGAAGTAAAACTAGAAGACACTTAGAGCCTAGATACAACAACCCTTTTAAGCTAACTGATTTGATAATTGGGGAGAGATCAGTATAAAGACCGGTTGAAAGTGGATATTGGGATCAGAATGAATCTTGTAAAAGGCAAAGAGTAGATTATGGTAGCGATGCAGAAGATTGCAAGTTCCAGTCCTTAGATTGGGGCATATATTTCTGAAAAACCTAGGTAATACATGTGTAAAACATAGACCACTCTGGTAAATTTACTATGAGGATAAAGTAGTTCTAAGGGCCTTAGTGGCAGGAATTCTTCTAGAGAAAGTATCTAACAGCGTTAAGTCGATCAGAGGGTTTAAATAGGAGATCCACAAGCGGATCCTAGATATGGCAATTGGTGGATAATTATAGATAGAAATAGATATAGCAGAGCCCTTAATTAGACAATAACTAAAGTTGTACGTATGACTAATTGTACTCTTGTTAATGTAACAAAGTCAAGGAGTGTCTATTCAGTATCTTGATAATTGAACTGAGAAGTTAATAAACTATGCTAGACCCCAAAGTAGTCACCTTAATATTAAAAAAAAAAATAATAATAATATTTGATATTAAAATTATGGGGAACAGCACAGAACTGTACTAGAATTGCACTAGAACTGATACGTGTCGTACTAGTGCTAGTACAAGAAACGTATTTGCTCAAGCAAATTCGGAAATAAACAAAAGACAAACATCAAACAAAATCTTATGGTGGTTAAATGGTGGTACAGACCTATTTAGATTGATTGTAACTAACTATGGTCGAGATTAGATGCGCGACTTTTATCACGGAGGTAGTCTAAAGCCAGATACTTTGCTGAAACGGCCAAATTTGCAACTTTAATGCTACTTGCAATTAGCTATAAAGTAACTATATAATTACTTTGTAGTAGCAATTTTCTTTGCGTTTACTATACGTTAGCAATACGCCTACTACTATTGATTTTTTTAATTTTATAATTATATACTATATAATTATTTTATTATTGCTGTGTGTTTACTATATGTTAGCAATACACCTACTACTTAATTTCGCAAGTTTCAGTAAAGTATGTATGTACGTATGTTTTAAATCAATTACTAATCGAGTTGCAAATTAAAACTCACATAAAACATATAAAATACTATATATAACCTCTATTTACGGTGCTGCAGTAAGACTCATTTTTTTGTAATTTTCATTAATACGTATCATAATTCGATATTACAAAGATATGCAATTTGATTGGTTAGAAATTACGAGTAGATCTACTTAGTCGGATTAGTCGGAGTGTTAAATTAGAGCTCTAGATTACATCACGGGTCTCTATATATAAGTTACAGTGATTTAGTTACTAACTTTTATTATTTTATAAAATTTGTTTATTAGAGCCGGCTTAATGTTGTTAGTCGAAATTAGACATTTAAACATTTAGACAAATTTAGACAAATTTTGACATTAGCAAAAACAATTTTGACATTAGCAAAAACAATTTTGACTAACAACATTAAACCGGCTCGGCTTAAGCTGGCTCACTTGAGTCAGCTAGCTTGAGCTAGCTTAATTAAGCCGGCTTGGATCAGCTTGGTTTGGCTTTTTGAGCTAGTATATATACAAAAATTGTATTAAGTAGAACAGATTTCAAATATTAAATAATACAAATCAAGCTGGCTTAAGATGGCTTGAGCTGGCTTTTTAAGCTAAGCCAAGCCAAGCCAAGCCAGCTATTCCTATCCCTACTTTAATAATTAATTCTATTTTATGAAAAATAACCCTGCTCTTAATTTATGCAAAAAAATTAAATTTAAAAAATTTGTCAATTTCCCCCCTTTTTGCAGCACCTAGCACATATTTTCAATCGTGCAATAGTCTGTCAAAATTAATTATAAAATAACTCATAAAGCGTTTAATCTTTAAAATACGCTAAAGATTTTCTTGAAGCTATCTCGATCAATTAACCAGTAGTTAACCTTGGTTAATTCATTAATTAATGTTAATCATTAATTCCTCATTAAAAAATTTTGTATACAAATGAAGTTTTCTAGAATCATTTTTTTATCATTTTTTATCACCTTTGCATTTTCAAAGGATGTAAAGTATATGGGAACTAAAACATCAGATCATTCTAACTACAAAACATCCACAAGTTGGACCAAACCATTTATTCCTACTATTTCTGCACCACCTGAAACAATTGATATTAGTTTCCCAACAGGAACACCTATAATTCCGGGTCTCTTACCAGGAATGACTGCAATTCCTGTAGTACCAGGACAGGATATTGCCATTGCGAATGAAAAATTATATGGATCTGACATTTATAAAAATTCAATTCGAGAAGTAGAAGGTGCATTAATAGAAACAAGCTTTAAAACTACAATTGGTGTCCTATTAGATGATTTCTCCGAAAGCTTTGGGATGCGCGAAAAAGTAGCAAATTACTATTTGAAGCAAAATAACGATTTTTGGATCAAAAAGGCGCATATGCAAACAGTATTAACTGAATATCGGCAAAGTTTTCGCAGTTTCTTTTATTCTAATAAGAAACAACTAACACTACCTCCAGAAGAAATTTGGGAATTCAACCTTGGTAAAGCTAGTAGAACGAAAATTGGTGTTCACGATTACATTGCTATGGATGTCGAATTTTATTCTGTTCTTGTTACTGATGCCAAAACCATCTATAGATCTGAACCAGCTTTGGATAAGATTGGTGGAAAATGGTCTGGTAAGTATTAAACTATTGTACCGTATTTTCGCGGAATAACGCTCATCTGCGTGTTATTTTGAGTATATGCGCGTTATTTTGAGTACGCGCATGGGCGTTATTTTGAGACAAATGTAAAAATTTTAAGCATCTTGTCTAAAACAAAAAATGTCCGGAGCTAGGTTGATACTAAGTGAATCTAGTTCCGGAGCATTTGTTCTAAATAATATAAGATGCGCGTTATTTCGGGACGCGCATGGGCGTTATTTTGAAGCTATATATGTTATTTTTAGAGGGCGCAATTTTCGAAATAACGCTCATGAGCGTTATTCCGCGAAAATACGGTATCAAACTCATTATGTAGTGAATCAAAAATTCTAACAATGAACCGTAGATCATTGGATACTACCTGTGGATCCTGAATTCATCCTGCAAAGAACTGGTTACGCGTGCCTTAACGAAAACTCGTACCCCAAGCACACTGTTGAAAGTGAGAATGTATGGGTATATTACGATGATACTTGTAAAGTTGAACAACCGGTAACTTTAATATATATTTACTTTTTTTTTGCATGCGATTGTAGTTAATTTCTGTGGCTAAGTGTATTTTTCGATATTAGCAACCCACATACGATCCGAGTGTGGTCCGTTGCCACTATAGTATATATCCTGCAATCTCTTGTATTGAAGCATTGGAAAAAAACGTTGGTTCTGTGAATGGTAAGAAATTTTGACATTAATTATTTCATTTCATTTGACTGATTAAATAAATTTAAAAATTTTGCAGTGACGATAACGTGGCATCGAATTCCTTTTAATGAGAATATAGCAAAAAAATATCGTTTTGGAAAGCATACTTCTTCCTTACCTGATTTGATTGTATTTCCTAAAACTTTATCAGAACAAACTCGCGTAGCTTATAGATATTACGGAGAAAATAGTTGTGTAATGCATGAGGGTCGCGGTCAATGTATTGGAGGTAAACCTACTAGACCTTTTTTTTTTTTCAAAACGCGTGCATTAATAATATTTTACATATTATAGCTCCTGGATGGAGACGACTTTTGCGCTTTGCTTCGTCTTCCATCAATTCGGGTAAAATTGATATTCATCTAGGAAATGTGACTGATCTTGATCACTTGTATCATGGTATAGTTGAATGGGATAATTGTCATAAACATTTTGTAAGATATATATAAAAAGAGCATATGCTTTGATTAAATATCTTCAAACATTGTAATTCGTAATTCTAACAAGTATTTAATAGCATTTCCAACATTTTGCTAAATACCTTTACGGTGAAACGTATGTTGTGTATTTATTATTATTTTATCAATATCGAACCGATCTGATGAAATTACATTTTTACAGATTTGGACGTAAAGTGGGATTTTGCCTGCAAACTTCATGGCGTTATTTTAATACAGAATATGCTTGTTTAAATACTCCATACGATACTTGTGCTTATCAAGGGATCAGTGTTGGTTGGGGAGACAACTATGTAGCAGGATTGGTATAGTAATAGGTTTTGCAATATATATTGGAAATTTCTAAATTTATTAAAACGTTACTTTTTTTAGGGTTGTCAATGGATCGATGTTACTGATTTACCTGCACAAGAAAGTATTTTAAGTGAAACTATAAATCCGGATGGTATGTATTTCGTTCACTATTGAATTGAATACTTTTGCAGTGATAAATTTATGCCATATTTATAAAAATAACTTTTATTAAACAGGTTTCCTTTGTGAGGGAAGCTTGGCTCTAAACGGTAGTAATGCTATTCAATGGGATTTGACTAATTTCACTACCTCATACGGATATCCTGTTTATCGAGAAAGATGCAATTTTGCCAAAAATTGGGATTCCAATAATTACGCAGGCATAAATTATACTCTGCATAAAGATTTGTCTTTCGTAACGGAGCCTTGTACGCGTGGTCAATCAGGTCCTTTGCGTGACTGGTAAAATTTATAATCTTAATTACATACAATATTAATTTATTATTATTATTTTATTTCAACATTTATAACATTTATAATTAATGTCTCTTTTCA